TGTGTGTGTGTGTGTGTGTGTGTGTGTGTGTGTGTGTGTGTGTGTGTGTGTGTGCGTGTGTGTGTACCTGAATATATGACAGAGAACTTCATGAGACAGCTCATTGATGTAATCTTTGGGCTCAGCAGATCTCAGGACCAGTTTGCCTTCACTGCTGCACCCGACTGATGGGAGTCTGGAAGCCTTCCTCCTCGGTCCCATCCCTGCAGTGTCACTGCTCACACACGTACAGGTGCGTGCGCGCACACACACACTTCCTTTGTCCTGCTAACTGAGGGGGTTACTTCTGCAAGGCTCACCATCAGATCTGGAAAACATCAATACAACACTTTGTTTAGTTTTTCAGAATTACAGTGTCTCTAATTTTCAGCTTTTGTCAGTTGAAAAGCAAGAACAGAATGCTCTTATAGTTTTTAAATTTCAGTTGTGTGGCTGTAAACAAGCAGTTGGTTTTTACTGATGCAGTTTGGAGTCAGAAATGTCTGTTTCAGAAACTTGTTACAGTCTTCAGTAGGTAGTGTCAGCTTCAGTTTAGCTGCAGTTTGAAAGGCTATAATATACTAAAGCAATGAATGAAACATAAGAAGACTTTTACTGTATAATAAAAGCTCAAACACAGATTGAAACATGTGATGCGTCCAAACAAGTTTAGCAAATCTTTACATGATAAACAAACTTTGTTTTATAACATATTTTTTCTTTATTTGATCACATTTTAAAGCAGTTCAGTGACATAAAGTCAAACTTTTAACTCGGTCCAGGTTTGAAGAGTCCAGCTGTTTGTAGTCTTTGAGCTGGACCAGGTCTAGTGTGGTCCAGATACATAAAAAATGGATGAAATCACCATTTATTGAAGTTTCACAAAACCCAAACCTATTTTTAAATATTCTACTAGTGTAGAATAATCTAGTCCAGATTAAAAACGCTGAAAAATGAGATGTAACCTCAGAAGCTACAATGAAACTTCAGCTTCGTCAAGTCCTGCCACAAAAACCTTGTTTCTTTAAAATGTTACAGATATTACTTTAGTAAAAAGAGCTGTGTTTGCCTCATCATGTGATGAAGCTAGTGTTTGTCGCAGCTAGTTTCCACACGGATCCTCCCTCACACAAACACACAGTGTGTTGATCATTGTTAAACACACAGTGTGTTGATCATTGTTAACACACAGTGTGTTGATCATTGTTAAACACACAGTGTGTTGATCATTGTTAAACACACAGTGTGTTGATCATTGTTCAGCCTTTAGGACAAACACATCAACTTACCGCTGTTTGACCATCAAAGCTGCTGAACTTCGGCTTTCTTTTATGAACTTTAATCATGTAAAAACCCAACAAAGATCTGCCAAACCAGACGTGTTTTCTTCTTTTAGGTTGATCTGTTCTTCTTCGTTGGTTCTTCTTCTTCTGGGGTTTTTTTCCCGGTTGGCAGAAAACCTTTGGTGCGCATTACCGCCACCTACTGGTCTGGAGAGTGGTTCAGATGTGGATTATTTCTAAAAATGTGTTTGTGCAAAAACTAATATATTCAAACTTTGTTGCTCAGGGTTTTTAAATCTTACTATAATTGTATTGATTTTCTCCCTGAATGCTTTTGTAGAGTATCTGTTATGTCTATTTTTTCTTTTTTTTTCTTGTTTTTTTATTTTTGGATGGCCTCCCTTCTCCCCTTGTAGCCATACTCTCCACACCATTATGGTTTTTTTGTGAAGAGAAAATAG